AACTCTAACCAAACTTCTTTGAGACACACTGTGATGAACCTGTTCAAAGTCAAGACAAAAGAAAAGATTCTTCAAGCTGCCAGTTGACCTATAGGGGCAAATGCACCAAGGTGACTGCAGACTTCTCTAATGGAACTTTCCAAGCCAGAAGAAAATGGTCATCTACCTTCAATCTAGTTAAACAGAACAATTTCCAGCCTAGAATTCTATATCCTGCTAAGCTAAGCTTTAAAATTGATGGAGAAAACAAATCATTTACTGATATACAAACATTGAGGAAATTTGCCACAAGACCAGCTCTACAGGAAATACTTCAACCTGTTCTACACACTGACCATCACAATGGATCAACAGCAGAGTAAGAACTCAGAATTTAAAGGTAAGAACCTAACTTCCACAATGATGCAAAAGATAAAACTAAGCAATGGACTCTCAAAAATAAGATGAAGAGAACACTGCCACATTTATCAATTATCTCAATAAATGTCAATGGCTTGAATTCCCCACTGCAGAGGCATAGATTGGCTGACTGGATTAAAAAACACAAGCCATCCATTTGCTGTCTGCAAGAAACACATCTAGCTTCAAAAGACAAATTAAAACTCTGAGTTAAGGGTTGGAAGACAATTTTTCAGGCAAACGGAATTCAGAAGAAAAGAGGAGTTGCAGTCTTATTTTCAGATACATGTGGATTTAAAGCAACTAACGTCAAAAAAGACAAAGACGGCCACTTTATATTGGTCAAGGGAAAAATACAACAAGAAGGCATTTCAATTCTAAATATTTATGCACCCAATTTAAATGCTCCCAGACTCCTGAAACAGACATTACTCAGTCTGAGCAATATGATATCCTATAATACCATAATAACAGGGGACTTTAATACTTCTCTTATAGAGCTGGACAGATCCTCTAAACAGAAATTAAACAAAGATATAAGGGATTTAAATGAGACCCTAGAGCAACTGTGCTTGATAGACGCATATAGAGCACTCCCATCCTAAAGATAAAGAACATACATTCTTCTCATCGCCCCCATGGAACATTCTCCAAAATTGATCACATCCTAGGACACAAAACAAACCTCAACAGAATCAAAAGAATTGAACTTTTACCTTGTATCTTCTCAGACCACAAGGCACTAAAGGTGGAACTCAACTCCAACAAAAACGTTCAACCCCACACAAAGGCATGGAAATTAAACAACCTTCTGTTGCATGACAGTTGGGTGCAGGAAGAAATAAAAGAGGAAATCCTTAACTTCCTTCAAGCACAATAACAATGAAGACACAAATTACGAAATCCTAAGAAAGGAAATAGCAGAGGATATTAACAAATGGAAGAACATACCATGCTTATGGCTGGGAAGAATCAACATTGTTGAAATGTCTACACTTCCCCCCTCTTCTCTTCTCCTCCGCTCTCCCTCTCTCCCCCTTCTTTTCTCTCCTCGTGTTTTTGGCTGGGGCTGGGTTTGAACCTGCCACCTCTGGCATATGGGACTGGCGCCCTACCCTTCTGAGCCACAGGCACCGCCCTTCTTTTCTCTCCTCCTTAGTGCTGCTTTGCAGCATCCTTCCCCCGCCAATAAAGACCTTTCATACTATATATATATACTTTTTATATGTGTATATATATATATATATATAATGTTTATACTTCCCAGCAATCTACCTATTCAATGCCATCCCTATTAAAATACCAACATCGTACTTTCAAGATTCGGAAAAAATGATTCTGTGTTTTGTATGGAACCAAAAAAAAACCTCGTATAGCTAAGGCAGTATTTAGTAATAAAACAAAGCTGGGGGCATCACCATACCAGATTTTAGGCTGCACTACAAAACCATAGTGGTCAAGACAGCATGGTACTGGCACAAAAATAGAAACATAGACATTTGGAATTGAATAGAAAACTAGGAAATGAAACGAACATCTTACAACCACCTAATCTTCGATAAACCAAACAAGAACATACCTTGGGGGAAAGACTCCCTATTCAATAAATGGTGCAGGGAGAACTGGATATCCACATGTAAAAGACTGCCACTGGACCCACACCTTTTGCCACTCACAAAAATTGATTCAAGATGGATAAAGGACTTAAATTTAAGGCATGAAATAATAAAAATCCTCAAAGAAAATATAGGAAAAACTCTGGAAGATATTGGCCTGAGGAAAGACTTCATGAAGATGACTGCTATGGCAATTGCAACAACAACAAGAATAAACAAATGGGACTTAATTAAACTGAAAAGCTTCTGTACAGCTAAGGAGACAACAACCAAAGCAAATAGACAACCTACACAATGGGAAAGGATATTTGCCTATTTTGAATCAGACAAAAGCTTGATAACTAGGATCTATAGAGAACTCAAATTAATACACATGAAAAAAGCCAACAATCCCATATATCAATGGGCAAGAGACATGAATAGAACCTTCTCTAAAGAAGACAGACAAATGGCTAACAAACATAAGAAAATGCACATCATCCCTAATTATTAGAGAAGTGCAAATCAAAACCACCCTGAGATACCATCTAACCCCAGTGAGAATGGCCCACATCACAAAATCTCAAAACTGTAGATGCTGGCATGGATGTGGAGAGAAGGGAACACTTTTACACTGCTGGTAGGACTGCAAACTAATACAACCTTTTTGGAAGGAAGTATGGAGAACCCTCAAAGAACTGAAGCTAGACCTCCCATTTCATCCTGCAATCCCATTACTGGGCATCTACCCAGAAGGGAAAAAATTCTTTTATTATAAGGACACTTGCACTAGACTGTTTATTGCAGCTCAATTTACAATCGCCAAAATGTGGAAACAGCCTAAATGCCCACCAACCCAGGAATGGATTAACAAGCTGTGGTATATGTACACCATAGAATACTATTCAGCCATTAAAAAAATGGAGACTTTACAGCTTTTGTATTAACATGGATGGAAGTGTAGCACATTATTCTTATTAAAGCATCATAAGAATGAAGAAGCATGAATCCTATGTATTCAATTTTGATATGAGGAAAATTAATGACAATTAATGACATGGTGGGGGTAGGGGAAGGGAAGAGCAGAGAGAGAAAGAAGGAGGGAAGAGTGGGGAAGGGAAAATCAGAGAGAGGGAAGGAGGGAGGGGGGTGGGGTCTTGGTGCCATACCCTTTGGGGGCAAGACACGATTGTAAGAGGGACTTTACCTAACAAATGCAATCAGTGAAACCTGGTTTTTTGTACCCTCAGTGAATCCCTAACAATAAATTAAAAAAAAATTGTGGCAATTTTGTAAAACAAAGAAATATTAGTACTAATTGAAATTCTTCTAAATCGTGGTATATACTGGCAAAATAAAGACAATATCTGAGATCTTTTCAGTGAGAAGAATTTTGTGATTTATCATGCTATGTATACATATTTCTTGGAGACAGAGTCTCACTTTGTTGCTCTTGGTAGAGTGCTATGGCGTCATAGCTCACAGCAACTTCAAACACTTGGGCTCAAGTGATCCTCTTGCCTCAGCTTCCCAGTAGCTGGGACTACAGGTGCCCACCACAATGCCAGGCTATCTTTAGATAAGGTCTTGCTTTTGCTCAGAGTGGTCTCAAGCTCAAGCAATCCACCTGCCTTGACCTCCCAAAGTGCTGGCATTACAGGTGTGAGCCACTGTGCCTGCAGCATGCTACATTTTCAGAACATAGAATGTGACTCCTACTGAAATGTCTACAGTTTGATGCTGCTGCAACACGTGAAGCTTAGTTTTGGGAGATGAAGTAGTTTTATTTAAAAGTTTAGTATTTGAAATCCATCTTATAAATGGCTGAAATCTGAATAGGCAAATTTGAATAGGCTTTCCAAACGGGGACTGAGGAGTAAGAAATGGAAGCAATGGTCAAAACTGAGAGAGCATAAAGTATGTATGGGATACAGGATTATCAATGAACAGATACCATTTTGGCTGAGGCAAAGGGTTGGCTTATGGGACTAGAACATCCCTTGCATTTTTACCCTCTAGGCACTAGGTGCTGCTGTAATTTTTGGCTATATTACTAACATGATCAGAATAGTATTCCACTGCCGAAATTTCGGTATGAGTTGATGAACTCCTGAAACTGACAGGTGTAAAAACAGAAAAGATGAAATACAAGAGATAACAAAAAGGGTGAATCAGTAAGATTTTTTGAGAGCCATAAATGGCACTATACTAAGAATATAGGGCGGCACCTGTGGCTCAAGGAGTAGGGCACCAGCCCCATATACCAGAGGTGGTGGGCTCAAAGCCTGCCCTGGCCAAAAACCGCAAAAAAATAAAATGTTTAGAAGAAAAAAAAAATAAAGTCACACTAACTTTAATAATAGCAAACACTATTGTTATTCTTTTTTCTAAATCCTTTAGTACTTTAAAATAAACCCTAGAGATAGAACTAGGATAACTTATCATGATGATAGTTTATTTATTTATTTTTCCTTGGAAAGACAATAAATACTTCTTTCTTTTTTCTTTTCTTGAGACAGTTTCACTCTGTTGCCCTGGGTAGCATGCCATGGTATTATAGCTCACAGCAACCTCAAACTCTTAGACTCTTCACCCTTCTGAGTAGCTGGCACTACATGTGTGCTCCACCACACGTGGCTAATTTTTCTATTTTTTTAGTAGAGATGGAGTATTGCTCTTGCTCATGCTGGTGTCAAACTCCCTAGCTCAAGCAATCTACCCGCCCTGGCCTCCCATAGTGGTAGGATTATAGGCATGAGCCACCTTGCCCAGCTAAAAATACTTCTTAATGCAATATACTGTGAAGAAGATGAGAATTAAAAAACAATACGTGATTCCAGGAAATACTTCAATTGCTAATCCATTCCATCCCACAGAAGTACAGTATTTAATAATTACCTTAATCATTTGATGGCAAAGGAATTTTATACTAAAGATCAAAAAACATTTCTAAATCAAGCTCCTTTGATTTAGAATAACAATTAAGTAGCTATTGCTATTTCATACCTTGTATTTGGTCATGGTGCTAAAATGATTATTCCGAAAGAACACACAAAGTTCTCCTTCCTGAACCGTTGAAGTTAGTTCACATAATCCATGGTATGTCAGTTGAGTGGCTGTGTTATTTAGAAATTGCTCAGCTACAAAGCCTATGAGACCAAAGTTCACAATTAAAAAGTTATCCTTTTTTATTTATGTACATTGTTCCAGGTATGGAGAAAAGCTAATCACTATAAGACTTTACCTACTATTATAAGATGGTTCCAAATTTTAAATTTGCTATAGAAAATGTGTCTACAGACATTCTCATCTTAAGCAGACTCACAAATTTTTTTATCTATAAAGGTATTTACTTATAAATCACTTGCTTTCAAAAAGGATTTCTGGTAACTTATAATAAAAGACACAGATACAATAAAACTAAAACCCATTAAAGCAAATATAAAGGCCGGTCTTAGGCAATTTGAGAAGTGGGTAGGAGAGGAAGATGTCAGTCAAAACCTACTTCCCCAATAGGTGGGTATTTAAAAGTGGAAATTAATGGAAGGGCTCAACTGCTTCAACTACAACTTGACGTTTACCTTAGAAACATAAACAATGGTAACCTAATCATCTGTACCCTAATATTAATCTGAATTTAAAAAATAAGTTTAAAAAAGAAAAATAAACGAATTAAGTAAAACTAGCCTTAACAAATTGATTTGATTAAGATTTTACAAAGATCCTAGGTAATGCTGAAGTCACAAACTGCTCAAACCCTGCTTTAAAACTAAAAGTATACGACTAAACTGAAAGCAATGAGATGACTGTCACCATATTTATTCTGATCTCTAACATATGCCACTCATTACTGTAGATACATTATGTTTAGAAATAGAAATTATCTCTTGTGTTTCTGAAACATAATAAAATATACAGAAGTTATCTGCGGTAAAATTTAAAAGCTATATGAACAGTTGATCCTCATTACTTGTGGCTTTATGAGTTCATCTACTAGCTAAGATTTATTTAGAACACCAAAATCAATACTTGCATTATTTTCATGATCCTCTGTAGACATGGGAAGATCACGCCCCCAAATTTAAGGTGCCCATTGCACACATTCCCAGCTGGGGTCAAACAAAGAACATCTTACCTTCTTGTTCAGCTCTCCCATGTAAACACAGGAGATGATCTATTTAGTGCCTTGTTTTCTACATTTTTATGCTTTTTCTGGTGTTTTTTCTGTTTTATATGCCCCCTAAGCATAATATTAAAGTGCTGGCTAGTGTTCCTAAGCGGGTAAATGTCTTATGATGAAAATACATGTGCTAGATAAGCTTCATTTGGGAAGGAGCTACACAGTTTCAATATCTCCTGTCTGAAATGCTTGGGATTTCGAATTTTTTCAGATTTTGCAGTATTTGCTTTATACTTACTGGTTGAACATCCCTAACCTGAAAATCCAAAATCTGAAATGATCCAATGACCATTTCCTTTGAGCACTGCAATGGTGATCAAAATAATTCAGATTTTGGAACATCTTGGATTTTTGGACCTGTAGTGCTGCTGGCTATGAGTTTAATGCTAATGAATCAATAATATATATTAAATAAGCTATCTTTAAACAAAAATGCATTAAATAAGGTTAAGTATTGATCAGTTGATGAAAATGTGAGCAGAGGCTTCCTGGAACTTAATCCTGTATTTTCCCTAAAAACAGTGGTTCACTATTTACTAGTTCAGTGTTCCTGGCCACTATATAGACTCTAGCTACCAAGAATAATAAAAATCAACCATGTAAAATTCTTTTTTTCCAGATGGTCTCACTCTGTCTCCCTGAGTAGAGTGTCGTTGCGTCGTAGCTCTCAGCAACCTCAAAGTCTTGGGCTCAAGCAATTCTCTTGTCTCCTGAGTAGCCAGGACTACAGGCGCCTGCCACAACGTCCAGCTATTTTTAGAGATGGGATCTCACTCTTGCTTAGGCTGGTCTGGGAACTTTTATTTCTCCTTTCTCTCCCACCTTTTGCTTCCTTTATTTAGTAGGAAAGAAATGTCTCAGAAGCAACGGGATGAATAGATGGGTGAAGAGGAAATGCTCTAAAAAGTTTTATAAGTGATCTGAGAAATGTAGTCAGAGAGAGTAAAGATAAAACTAATATTTCAATACTAAATGGAGAATAAACTTGGGACAGCCAGAAGTAGCTGGATAATGCAAGTTTATTCCATTTCCTCTCCTTCCCCTGGTTTTAAGTCACAGTACTTTAGGCTGAAAAGTGGTGGTGAAAAGTTACCAGTCCATCATACTATTCCAAGCACTTGGCTGTGGAAGAAGGAAAAGTGCGGAAATCATAAGGAGGGCTATAGACAAAGGAAACTGATAGCATCCCTGCAACTTCTTGGGTTTATAAATTTAGAAATAAGGGCTCTGTCCCAAAAGTATTATCATTACTTTGCTAAGTACTTAAGTTACTGAATAGAATATATCAATTATATACTAATAAATAGCATTTATTACATATATTATAGTAAATTGCATTTATGAATATATATCATTTAAGAAGCATTATATATATCATAATATATATATATAGAGGCGCTATATATATATTTTTTATATATATATATAAGAAGCAATATATATCAATAAGAAGCATTATGCTTATGCTGAGAAGTGTCAGTGCTGCATATAATATTTGTGTTACTATGTGCTTGCTTCAGAAAGATTTTTTTTTGAAACAGACTCTTGCTCTGTCACCCAGACTAGAGTACAGTGGCATGATTATAGCACACTGCAACTTCTAACTCCTAGGGGTGCAGTAGAGTACTCAGAACATCTTACTGTGCCAAGAAAAATAACTGTTCATGGAATGATGAGGATATATCAAAAGAACCTAGGACTCGGCTTGAGGACATCCCACTGGCCATATTTGGAACAAATTAAGTACAGAAAAGAATAATGATGAAAATGGATTATCACACACTGAATAAAAATGAATTCAC